GTTTATTGTTACACGTTTTCCTCTTTAAACCACTAATACAAATAAGTAAACCAGTTATTTTATTGCTGACACATTCAAGGTGTCAAGAATTCCTTCATCCCCTCTTGCTTATTATTCGAGCTAACAGTCCGCACGAGGTGGTATTTCTACAAGAGGTAGCAGCCTCGAACAAAGAAAAAAAGAAATCCTCACGCATTCGCAGATTCGTCGATTCACCATATGTCGCGGCGGAAACAGTGTATATTTTACAACGGAAGGAACAAAGATAGTCCCCTCCTCCCCCTTCGTAGATCTAACACAGGAAATCCCAAGCGAAGACCAAATTATAGACGGTGAAACTTGACGGCGGAATGCCACTTTGATCCAACGTTTATTCGAGTGAATGGAGCGTTGGCCAAGAGGCACAAATGAACTGGCGATAATAACATAGACGCGGACGTGCGTAAAACGCGACCGGAATACGGCCCCGTGTGTCTGTTCCCAGAAAGACAGAAAGAGAGACAGAGAGAGAGGAGAAACTTGACGCGTAGGGGCTGATCCTGAACCGCGGCCATGTTGCTCGCTGCGGAAATTTCACAGTCAACCCCCTCCTTCTGGTCGTCGGTTCTCTCTCCCGATAACAGCTTGCACGACAAGTGAACTAACAAAGGGGAGTAATCTGCGTCGTGGAAACTCACCCGCGGAATTTCTGCCCACGGCCCTTTCGGCAGTCTACGTAAGCCGTCTCTCGAAACCCTTTTTTTTCTTTTCTCCGACACTGTCGTAGGCGGACGTCGCCTGCCTGTTGCAGTTGTATCGTAAACAATATACATACTCGTCGACAATATACATCGACTTTAATTTTATTAATAATAAAGAAAAATTGAACTGTTCACGTATGATGAAACAATTAATCGTAATGAAATTTTAAATGGAGTAATCGAGATTATCCTGTTCCTAGTAATCGGAAATTGATTTAATAAATTCATATAATAATTAATTTCACAATTATTAAATTCTGGATATTCGTAAGACCAGTATCATTGGCGACCAATTGCTTGAATAGAAAAGTAAGGATTAAACATTTCGTCGACAAAATATAATAATTTTTACTGATGGATAACGAGTTATTAATGAAATAGATATTGGTATTGAAGTTCAGATAATTTCAATCGTATGACTTTTTTAGTAAGGATAAATTAAAGAATTTATTTAATATTAAATCTAAATTATTTTAATATTAAATTTAATATTAAATAATAAAATACAATGTTAATGAAATAATTATAATTACAAATAATACAATGAAATTATGAAATTAAATTAAATCGTCTGAATACAATGAATTTGAATCTTAAAATGTTATTATATTTCATGTTGAATAAGTATATTGACGTGTAATAAGAATAAGAATTGTATTGTGGGAGATGCAGTGAGCTCAGAAGTCAATCAGTGCATAAAGTATCATTGGTAAAATTTTTAGCTGATAGAAGGATGTAATTTTAATGTTCCGAACTGTTCCATTAACTGAAAGCCAAGTAAAACTTTTTAAATTTACAAATAAACTTATACTGATTCAATCCTTTGTATATTAATATTCTTTGGAAGAATCACATACTTTCAGAGGTATCGTCAAACCTACTGTATTACTGTAGCAGTGAAACAAATGCCGTGTAAGTAAATCAATAATATGATAAAATTCTTTAAACGTAAATTTTCTTAAAAATTCTCTAAACGTAGTTTATAGTGTTCGTATCAAGTATATTGTGAGAAACACAACGAGATGTTAAATCGATCATCAAAGGGATGTAATTTCGAAAGAAATTCTCGCAACGCGGAATTTTATAAATTAAGAATCGCACTGTCTCATACGTAAAATTGTAAAATTATAAAAGAGAAGTCTATAGTCGGTGACTCGTTTAATATTGTCGATTAGTAAATTGTTGTGCAATTCGATATTCGAGTTTTATTGAGTATCATTGAAATCCGATCGTTTGAATTAGATTAAATTCTCCACAAACGTATTAAAATTCGTGGTCTACCCACAACGCGCGAAGTTTACTTAAAAAATCGTGAAACAGAGTGAACCCGATTGACTGCCAACGGCCGCAAATTGCGTCGATCGAACGCAAACAACGCTCGTCGTTGATGGAATGTTTCAACACCACTGTCGTCTAGTATGCAACGAGGGAATCAAGGTCACAGGGCGAAAAACCGAGGCACACGTGGCGTGCGACGCATTTTCACAACGATGCGATCGTACAGATGGGGTGGTCGGTCGCAGGGGTGAGTTTCGGCGGCCATGTCGGTTCCCAATTAAACAAATGCCTGCTGGAAACTCGAGCAACCCCTCGGGCCAGGGTTCTATTCTCTCTCTCTTTCTCTCTCTCTCTGTTCTATCCACCCTGTCGTTGTTCTTCGTTCGATCACAGAAGGGAGATCGGCGGAGCGCACGTGTCTGACAGCATGCGAAATTCGAATCGAAGCTGGCTGCTGACGAGCGTGTGCGCGTTTATACGTTCGACCTATCTTCCAGCTTACGAGTGGATTACACGCGCGCGAATCGCGAGCGTTGCGACACGCGTGCAATCACCAACACGCTGATGGAATTTCTAATTAGCCGTCGTGGATGGTTAGCGCACGTGAAGTTGGCGAAAAGTTCTCTAGTTGGTCAACGTTTTGCATTTCGTTTTGCAGTCACGTGCAAAGCACGAGTGAGAATATAGTTACAGCGGACGCGGTTTTCCTTTCTGACGAATAAAACAAATTAAAAGCCGCGTTAACTCGATGCCGAGAGGTGAGAATCGCTCTAAGCTCTTTGTGTTATAACTTGGCCAATTCTTGATGAAAGTCAAATTTAATAAAAAATTAAATTTGTAGTAAAATTCTAATAATAAAAAAAGTTAATAATTTAATTAAAAAATTAATGATTAATAAAGTTTAATAAGTTAATAATTTAATAAAAAAAAGTTAACAATCAATAAAGTTTACCAAGTTAATAATTTAATAAAAAAGTTAATAATTCATAAAGTTCGATAATTCATCATGAGGATTAATAATTCGCACGAGTAAAAGAATCGTGACATGTGAGAAATTGTCGTCTGGATTTTAGCGCGTGGCCGAGAAAGATGATTGAGAACCACTGTTCTGGAAATTCCCGCTCGAAAGCTTACAATTATCCTCCTCCTATTTTCGAATGACCACGTCACCGCCATCCGTACCGAGGCTCGATACTTGCTAATAAAACAAAGATCGTTAATCGACTCGAGGGTACGCGTCTGAACGAAGATCTCTCGGCAAACAAGTGGCCATGGTGGTATGGTAAACAGATCTCCCGTCGAATCCGAGAAAGCGAAACGCAAACACCGGTCCCTAACCGGCGATAACCCTTCGGCTACTTCGAGCGAGGCAAAGGCTCGCGAGTCTGCGATGTGATAAACTTTTGTCTCGACTGACCTTATCGATGAACCTTCCTCGGCTCGTTGCGATCGAAACGATTCGTCTGACGATAGACAGTGAGTGGAGAAACAGCGGGGAGAAACGCGGGGGGAAAACGACGAGCCGAGGTCTCAGCACTTTCCACTTGTCTGTGGAAATTACATTACCGATCCAAATATTGAAGCGTCTCCTCTCGAGATCGGTCAAACTGTTTGACTTTCCGATTGTTCTTGCGCTCCCGGGTCTTGCTCGATTTTCTGCTGCAACGTTCGAGTTCGTTCAGCAGCCGGACAACTGCTGCTTCCGTTTAATCCTAAAACCGTCTTGAAGCAAATGCGATCACGCTCTCACGTAAAGAGAAACTGAAGAAGCGTCGAGAGAGAGAGAGAGAGAGACGTTTCCTTCTTCTAAGTTTCTTATTCCAACGATTTATCGATGTTAAGAAGAAAGAAAAGGAAAAATTGCACGATGATTCATTTGGGGCTCATTTCGAAGTAAAAATTACTTTTCGGCAGTTGTGAGTTCGTCTTTCTCAAAGGCGATATTTAAGATGATGATTTAAGAGAAAAGTGAAATTCAAGTTGTATTTGTATGATTGAAAAAAATTTATTTGTGACTAAATCTACGACAGTCTTGAAAATTGAAGCTTTCTTTTTAAAACGAACCCTTAAAACTTGCTGTACGATTTTTCTTTTTCGTTATATTATTGAACTTTGAGTGTTGGGATTAAACGACGGGAGTTTAAGAAATTCGAAATATTCGAAATATCGAATTCTCGTCGCGTAATTCTGACATTCAAGGTCGTGCAACAAGCTTCAAGGAGTCTTTATAGAGGAGAAATTTCAATTTTTAAAAACATGTGGATCGTAAGAAATATTTTTAATATTCTCAGAGACCTTTACTTCAATAGCTAATACTTTTCCGTTCGTTCGTTCGTTCGTTACGTGATATTAAAAAGTCTTTGGAAAAAAAAAAAAAACGATTTCGATCGAATTCACGCTTTTAAATGAGCTCAAGTGAATTGCTACACAAATTTTTCTCACAAAGTTACAATAATTTGAAACATAGACAAGTTTTCGTCGAATGAAGTACTTTTGCGGGCCAATGCGTGTACATTATGATTTTAAGAAAGTTATAGCAATTCGCGCATCGCACAGTTTGCGTGTAACAAATATAAGATGATATTATGGAAATGATGCATAGCAACTGGTGCATAAAGATATGTAGTCTCACCTAAAAATGTGTCAACAGGCGTAAGTAAAGAGATGATCTTAGCTCTCTAATCTTTAACCGCAAGTGTACTTACGACACATAACTTATGAGACTCTGAATTAACTTTGGAAAGTTAATATACGATGATTTCTAAACTACATGGTTTATCTAGTTGACTATTTTTGAGACATGGCAAGAAGAGTGTGTTTTTATTAAATTTTATTACTGCTTGATAAGATATATATATATATAATATATATTATACATAATTATATCATCATATTACATCATACATTATCTTATTATTTTATACTTATTACACGATATAAAATATTGTTATTAAATTGAAATTAAGAAAAGTCAGTATGCTATATACAAATTAATTTTATTATTCATTATAATATTATACTTATCGTTACAATATTACATAAAAATCGGAAAAAGATATTTTAAATAATTAATATTTTAGATATTTTAAAGATAATAATTATTTAAATAATTAGTAATTCGGAAAATATTTGTCTCCCATTTGATTTTCACTTTAGTGAAGACGAAATAAAAATGGCCAGAACGTTTGTCAATTTGAATATAAAAAGCATTGATTTGTTATTTTATATAAAATTATATTTGTACTCCTTACGTTCAACAATCTCTAACGAACGACGTAACTTGTGCAAAAGCAAGAAAACTTATCTGTTTTTACAAAACAGACTTGATACATCGGTTATTCTGTTATTCAATAGTCGTCATCGAACGCACACGATCGTGCGAACTATGCATTCGAGACACGCGTAGGGAGGGAAATGCGGCACGTTTGTTATCTACATTTTCACAAGACGGAGAGCCAACGATTATCGTTAACCAAGTACGTACATTTACATAATTATATACATATGTACATCCCTGCGTAAAAATTCCTACGTTAAAAGCCAAGATTACTCAAACGGTACAATGGAATCCGAGTGTATTTGAGACGTTTGCTATTGCACTCCGTTATGGGAATGCAGACGCCATTCTTATTCCTGGCGTAACCATCCTTGCAGTAACAGCCGTCGTTACATCTCTGCAAACATGATCGCAACGACGTTCATTTCTGTGCTCAAAAACTGATTTCTCGATCAACTTACGAAATTCACGATGGCGCAAGGCTGATTCAGAGTAGCACACTGTCTTTGACAGGCTGAGCCGCACTGATATTCCTCGTTCGGCATGTCACAGACCAATTTCTTGGCGAACGAAGCTGAAATTTGGTAAATTTTATTTGTAAGTTTCGAGTATACAGGGAGCAATTTGATTTTCTAGGGGAGGGGGGGGGGTCAATTCGAGACTTTTTTTTTATATTCCTTTAACTTTCTTTCGTGGGTGTCCTGTTCTTTGGAAACTAGGCCTTTCTCCACGTCAAAAGTTCACTTTTTGAATAGTAAGAGATGCTTAATTGGGCCAAAAAATCATTGAGAACCATTGCTCTAGGCCAATGATGGTGAACCTATGACCCGCGAGTCAGCCATTGACCCATGCAGGCTTTTTAAATGACCCATGCGTTGATTTTCATAAACTTATCATCATATATACAAAAGAATTTTAATTATTTCTCGGACCCCTCTTTTCAAGAAATGTTAAGGAAATTACAAGTGTTCGGTTAGAGCTTAAAAGTGAGAAATAAATGCATAATTGTGTTTTATGTAGGATTTACGACTTGGTTATGTATACATATAGGTACTTTAAGTCTTAAATGTTATATGAGTTGTGTCCAAAAAATCTTACGATTAAACAGATGTAATAAACACTAAAAAGACACACTAGATCTCATTCTCAGAATGGGTAGCTTTGCTAGTTTTTTATATAATAAAAGAGAGAACAGACAATAAAAAATATTAAGAAATAAAGTATATATATCTAATGTATAGTGACTGGGCTTTTATGTCAATTTTTTGACGTCGACATTTATTTTTTGCTTTTCACTTGCAAAAGTAAACGTCGTAAAACAAAAAGGAAACGTAAACTTTTTAGAGGATTATAAAAGTGAGAACCAAAAGAAAGTAGTTTTTAACCATCCTCCCCTCCCCCTTAGGGCAGTGACGCTACTGACTTAGTGACCGGCGAGCTAGTATTAAAAAAAATAATGAACAAAATTTGACCTACTTCTCAAAAAGGTTCGCCGTCACTGCCCTAGGCTAAAAATTTGAAACACTTGGACACATTTGAACAAGCCATTTACTGGTAGAAATGGTTTGTGAAGACTTACTGGTTGAAAGCACCATTAAAGCGACGAACAATACACAGACGAATTTAAACATATTTAGCAAAATACTATTAGTGATGTCGTTTCACTCAGAATACTCAGAACTGATATCTGCAGATGACAACGGAAGCTTATATACGTTACATGAATGACTTTTCCATGTTCTATATACATACATTCGATCACAGCGATGCAAGATAATTTTACGTTGATGTGATTCCCCTTTTTTCTTCTTTCAAGTATAATTCGAACAGAGATAGATGAATGGAACGTTAAATAGACAGTGATCCTTGACTGAAATCTTTCACGTACATGACAATTTTTGGCGAAGAAGCTTTACGCTTTAAAATGAGTATATCGGTAAGTCTAAGATTCTTTTTTTTAAGAAGTTATAATTGTATACTTTCTATAAAATTCTAAAGAAAATTATCGACACTTACACTTAAATTGAAGCTACCATTTTTTTCCAAAAATGTTTTTACGTCATTTTGAGAAAGATTGAGCAAAGATACTTTTCTTTCCCTCAATAATCTGCAAATTCGAACGTTTTATTTTATTGATAAACATTAAAAAGTTCTTTCTCATAACTAAATTCACTGCTGTCGTAAATATTGAAGCTTCCTTTTTACAACGATCCCTCAAAATTTGTCGCACTTTAATAAAAGTTCAAAATATCGAATACTAATTTTTCACCGTGTGAACGAAGACTTTCTAAAACGACTGTATTTTATCTCCTTTCCTGTACAACGGGGCATCTGCTCGTCAGAATTTAGATAAATGAATAAATTGTTTTATTTCTATGTTGTTGAAGTGTTCCGCACACCATTTTATCTCATTTTTATGTCATTACTTTTTTTTTTTTATTATGAAATTCTTATTATCATTGTGAAAAGGAGTGGCAGGAACAAGTAGCATCTGTTCGGAAACACGCAGCGATGTAAAAATTCCATGGAATTTTATCCGCCGGTTTCACGGTCGTTCTTTCATTGAACTCAACGCTGGGAATACCTGCGTTCAAGTGAATTGTTTATTTACGAACTCGCATGTGCATGAGCAACCAGAGGAATTCCCTTTTTAGAGACGTTAATGAATATGTCCGTGGCTTGGACCTTGAGACGATGCGACGACCACTGTGATACACTTTCTTTCGTGTTAACATCGATGATTTATGTAATGTGTAAAATGAAAAACTCAGTAATGAACTAATATAAGACATTATTTTAAATATGTACTCAGTAATGAACTATAGTATAAGACATTATTTTAAATATGTAAAGGTATTTATAAAAATATAATTAATATAATATAAAATATTAATATGATATAATTAATATAATATAAAATATTAATATAATTAATATATTGTTTGCAATTTCGCACTTCAAAATTTTCTACAAACGCATAAAAAAGTCTACTAAAACAAAAGTCTAATCATTACAACAAGTTTGATGAAATGTTCGAAGAGGAGTTTGCAAATTACTCTGAGCTGCACGATTACTCTGGGGTAATATTTAATATTTTACAATCGCGAGAAAGAGATACTTCAAATATTCGAAAAAAGAAAAAAGATTTTACAAGTCATCTTATCTGACTTAATATTTCACAATTATGAGGGAACAAACTGTAATCAGCGACTTGTAAAATTATTTAATTGCAAGGGAACCCAATAACAATAAACAAATGCAAACACAGTGTGTGTTGCTGTCGGTAAATTCAGTATGTCGTTAAAATCACAAGCTCAGAGATTATCTCTGCGGCAAGGTATATTTTCCTCGGTGGAAATGAAATTCCACGTCGATGTTGATCTGCATCTTGTTGTTGTTCAACGGGAATGGAAACGCCTCTCGAACGATGCTGTTTAGAACCGAAACACGACCGGCTGAATAGAAAACGTTTAAGCATTGTTCGAAAACGAAGGGACGGTGATTGGGCGAGTTAATATCGGGTCAGTGTGTCAGAACCGGGGGCTTTCACGGGGTAGTGAAGGCAAAATGGTGGCCCATGGCTGGCACAAAGGAGTCACGCTTGCCTCCTGCGACGTGATATCGCAGAGGGGTGAAAAGTGGAGTAAAGAGCGAAGGGCAGTCGGCGCGTAAGCAACAAGGGAAACACACTGGCCGAGGAGGGTAACTCGAGCACTTCCAATCGAGTTTTCCGCTGTCAGTGGCTGCTGGTTGTCGTTGACAAGGAACCAGCCTTTCTTCTTCCAGCTCGACAGCGTTCCCGTGACAAATGCCAAATACCGTTGAACGAATCGATACCGAAAAGTGGTAGGGTCCGTCCATGTCGAATGTTGTTACAAGGAATTGTAATTGATAAATATCTATCACCTATGGAAAGTATCATAGGAGACAGAAATAATAAATTTCAAACAAAGAGCGTTTCGTCTTGTAGAAAATTGATCGGACGAATTAATGGCGAGAAATGTCGATGTTACAAAGAATTGTAATTAATAAATAGCTCAGTTTTAATGGGAAATGCTATACAAGGCAGAAATTACACAGTGAATACAATTATACGATAAAGTAGAAAATTGTAAAAGAGTGTTTTACCTTATAGAAAATTGATTGGAAGAGAAATGTTGAGGTTTATCGATGTTACAAAGAATTGTAATTAATAAATAGCTCA